GAGATATCAAATTAATTTAGTCTCTACTATCAGTAATATCCTTTAAAATAGTAGGGTGTTACAGTTAGTGGTTTATCAAGAGAAACCCACCAAGGGTGCAATTTGAACCAAAATTCAAAAGGGCTAAAGATGCATAATTTACCGAAAGATTGAATTTTCAAGTAAAAGCTTTAATTCATGTTTTGAATGTTGGAGACCCTATACATAACTTGTTTGCACATATTAAAAGCTGAAGAAATAATTAAAGAGCTTTCAAAAGAACTATTGCACCTAATCAAGATTGACTCTACTATGTTTAGTTACTAGACTAGTTAGTTAAAGTAGATTTTCTAGTTATAGGAAATAGAATAGTTAACCTTAGTTAGTTGAGTTTAGAGAGTGGAACCATTTTATATAGTTGTGTGAAGAAACAACTACGGCTGACTGATAACGGTTGAAAATACCGTTATCTGTGATGTAATTTTGATAATAAATGCACCCTTTTCTACTTAGAAACTTGCTTGGAATCATGTTTTTCTGTTAAGTTGTGTGAATAAGAGAGTTGAGGTTGAATTTGATGAATTTATGACTAAATTCCCTTGTTTTGGCAGGAAATGAGATAATACGGAAAACAAAGTGAAAGCTTGGACAACCTTTTTGGAGGCTTAAGCGCAGAAGAGTGCCGTTCACCGCCTAGGCACCCCTTTTGCGGCAATTACAAGAACCTGATTAACACAACCCACTCCTTGCACCAGATCTGGTGCGGGAGAAAGATTTAGGCCTTGGACCTCCTTTCTCGTTGACGACATCGATGGTCAAGGCCCGTCGAAGTCTGTCCAGAACTGTGGAGGAGAAAGAAAATGGTATGTTCTAAGGGAGAAAGAATCTATTTGAGTTGGTTAAGGAGAAGAGAAAATAAATTATATTTTATATTAAAGTACAAACCTACGTGACTACCACCTTTAATGTGTCACTGCTTTATATTTGTCAAGTAAGCATGCAATCTTAGTGTAATCTTAACGTTATTTACTTAAATTGACGACAAAAGTTCAATAAATTCAATTTTACACAAAAAAAAAAAACAAAAAATAGAAAGACCTGTTCGAAACGATTATACGTAAACATAAATCTCAATTATTAAACCTATTTTTTATAAAAAAATAAATTATAGCGTATAAAAAGTTGGTATAAAAAATTATTTTTGTCTTAGTCTTTCCAGACTGTAACGAGTATATTAATAAATAATTTACTAATTCCCCCTATTATTCACTATGTCTAAGAAGACAGCTAATAATTATGACATGACACTAACCATAAAGTCAAAACTCGGGTAGCCAAAGTAATTCGAAGTGTTTCTAATGAGGAAAGAGAAAAGCTTTAAAGCAGCATGCAACTTTCTATATCCAACCTCGTCTCTCTTGCACCTGTCTCAGTCTTTTGGTTAATTGTCGACGTTAACTTCCCTTGGCTCCCCAATACGAGTGGTAATAGGTACTAAACTGTGCCCTCAAAGATTCAGCTTCTCCATGATTTCAATTAAACCCACTTTCCTGGGAACATAATTTTCTACACTAATAACACCTGAAGCTCTGACATTTCACATTAGCTTTATATAATGGACACATTTTGGCTCAAGTTCTTTATATTTTATTCCTTTAAAAATACAACATTATATGAAGTTATAATGACAATATAGTTAAGTGGTAGAGGTTAAAACGCATACATCATAATGCTGAAAATAGTGCAATACTAACTGGTGTATAGGCCCCCAAACTCCGTACTAGAAACAGCTCACTCATGGTGGGAGAATCTAACAAATCTAACATTTACATTCTACATAGAACATTCAATTAATGGCATGGTCAACAAATAAAATCATCACAGAACCGACACTGAATTAGAAAATGAGATCTAATTTGCAAGTGAGGAAAGGATGACCTTAACTCCAAATTCCGAAGATAATAGTAAAAAAAGCTATTTGAGTGGATTATAGTTATTAGTAATAAGCAGAAGGATAGGTGTGAGATTTGGTGAAATAGAAGAGGACAAAATAGACATCCGCCCGGAAATAAAGGGAGACCGTACAGTCCAAGACAGCAAAATAACCTCCACAAACAAAGGTGAGTCACTCCAACTACAGTACAGTCTTTGTTGTTGTTACTTTCTTTTCTTCTCTCTCCTCTACCCTTCTTTCTTTCTATCTCTCTCACCCTGCCACACATCACACCCAACAGTCTAAGCATTGCAGCAACTGCACCACTGCTCCCGCCTCAGCCTGCAGACAAGAAAAAGGGCAAAAAGAAAAAATAATATCATATCAATAAAAACAATTAAATAATACCGAAAAAAGTTCTAGCTTTTCTTATATCAACGAAAGTATCTTGCGGGAAGTGACCCAAAGATCAACCCTTTTATTGGGAAACAATACCTATCATGCAAACGATCTCGTTAATTGAATGCTTGTATGCACACTAGTTTAAAAATTGAATCTTTCATTACACACATAAAAGATAAAATAAGCACATCACTTTTTTAACCGTTGCTGTTATTTTTATGTTTCACGTGCCAATCCCATGATAAATGTTGAAATTTTATTTTCCTTATAAAGTATTACTAATTGTTTTCATCATTACATCCAACTTCATTGGTGGTGTTAGTCTGTAAGTAAGAAAATTGAATTTGAGAGTGTTTTAGTTAAGAGAGATGGTTAAATGTGAAGGATAATAGTAGAGTGAGTTGGTAAGAGAGTGGGAATGAAAGGGTTTCCCAAAAAGCAAACCCCATAATTGTGTGTAGTGAAGAGCCCAAAAAGGGTGGGAAAAATGAAGAGAGAGTGATTGGTCAGTGGGAGAGAAAGACAGACACAGAAAGCGGGTCTCTTTCTTTTTGGAGTATTGGGTCAGGTTCTTTTGGCAATGCCAAAGTTGGTCACGCTCACTGAAAATGCAGAAGGCATGAAACCACCTTCAAATATCTCCCCCCACTCACTACTCCTGTGCTTCTTCCTCCTCCTCTGTCTCTGCTCCTTCTCTCTCTGTCTCCCTCTTTCCTCCTCCTCATGCCTGCCCTCATCGATCTTAACAGCGCCACCGAGGACCATGAAACGCCATCGTCTCGCCCCTCCTCCGTCTGCCTCGAACTCTGGCATGCCTGCGCGGGTCCTATGATTTCCTTGCCCAAGAAAGGAACACTTGTCGTGTACTTCCCTCAAGGACACTTAGAACAACACCTTCACGATTTTCCGCTTCCTGCTTCTGCTAACATCCCTTCCCACCTCTTCTGTCGCGTTCTCGATGTCAAGCTCCATGTGGGTCTTTCTTCATTCCTTTCTTTAAACATCGCACTAATAGAAATGCTGTCGGGTTTTCTTCCTTTCATGTTTGCTGATTTACATTGAACGTATTTGTGTTTTTGTTGTTTTGTTTATGTTTTTCGCAGGCTGAGGAAGGGAGCGATGAAGTGTATTGCCAGGTGGTGTTGGCTCCTAAAAGTGAGGTGAGGCTTCTTTTTACAGTTTGGTCTTGGAGAGTGTGCTAAAAAAAGGAAACAAATTTTATCTCAGCATCTTGGCTTCTTTAGCAGCTAAATCTTAGGGGCTAATAAGTGAAATGTCAGCAATTGAGATTATTTGTATGGATAATGATACTTTTACATTATTTTAACATGTCCAAAATTATTCAATAATCAATAATAATAATAATAATAATAATAAACACCAATCACGATATGTTAAAATCTTATCAAAGTATAATTATTGGATTTGCTTAATTTTAGTTGGTTGCTTTGTTTTCTGTCTCTCAATGTTATACTAGAGAAAAAGGGAACTACAAAATTTTAAGTTGTTGAGTTGTGAAAAGACAGAAGATGTGTATGTGAAAGTATGTGAAGTGATTAATTTGGTCGTTGCCTGCAGCAACTGCATCAGAAGTTTCGGGAAGCGGAAATTGATGTTGATGGTGAGGAGGAGGATGCTGAAGCTGTGATGAAGTCCACCACACCCCACATGTTCTGCAAGACTTTGACAGCTTCTGATACTAGCACCCACGGTGGATTTTCTGTGCCTCGTCGTGCTGCGGAAGATTGCTTTCCACCTCTGGTAACAATTACGAATGACGATGCATTCCTTTTCCTCTTGTGGCACTCTGAACCTAATTGAGTGGTTCTTAGATTGCTCTAATCTGTTTTATCATTTTTATTTTTTATGTGATATAGTTAAAGTTACTCCTTACCTCGTATATGTTTTGAATTGACACACACCACACCCCCGAGTCCACTTTGGGAGATATATTTCATCGTAACAAATGGCATTGAATTATGCTGTATGACTCTTTCATAGCGTCTTGAATTTAAATCCGTTGTTACTTTAGGAATACAGTCAACAGAGACCTTCGCAGGAGCTTGTGGCAAAGGATCTGCATGGTCAAGAATGGAGGTTTCGACATATTTATAGGGGTATGTCCTCTGTTGTTTTAATATTAATGGACAAATCAATTAGAATAGTTCATGGTTGTTTGGGTTTATATTTACTGTTTCTCATGAGCAGGGCAACCACGACGACACTTGCTTACCACTGGGTGGAGTGCATTTGTGAACAAGAAGAAACTTGTATCTGGAGATGCTGTTCTGTTTCTTAGGTATGAAGACCTCGATTCCATCATATATTATCTAGTAAGCATAACAGAGACAGGACCAACATTTTATACTTAAATGGCAGGGGCGAGGATGGAGAACTAAGATTGGGAATTCGTAGGGCTGCTCAATTAAAAAGTGGCAGTGCAATTTCAACTTTTGCTGCCGAGCAATTGAATCTTAGCAGTCTTCTGGATGTGGTTAATGCTTTATCAGCAAGACGTGCCTTTAGTGTGCACTATAATCCAAGGTATTTTTTCTAGTTATTCTGTTATACTTTCCTAGGTACTTAATTGAAGGGAAACTATCGATTTCTATCAACAATTCATTGTTTCTATTGTATTAGCTACGATTTGATACACCTTATGCTATTCAAATCGATGCTTACGGTTTAGCTATAGTTACGAAGCAAAACAATTACTAAATCAGCCTGTCCACATTATTATTAGCCTAAAATTCTTGTTATATACATGAAATGAGATTTGGTGTGATATCAGTAAATAAAACCGTGACAAAATCTTTGCTACTTCCCAAGGTTTTCAGGCTCTTTTAGTTGGTTCCGTATACTTTGTTGTATGAGTTGAACTGAGATAGGCGCATAAAAGTCAAGCAGATGCTTTAGTCTATTCCTGTGTGTGCGTAGAACCTCAAGTTTTCCTTGGATCTTATATTTATTTATTTTTGCAATAGGTTTCCATGCTTTCATTATATTTTTTTTAGCTTATAGCAGACATATATTTTTACCTTGGTGAATAATTTCCCTTTCAAATTCTTAAATACATTATTATTATGTGAATATCCTAACAGCATATGCATCCTTCCCTTCCATTTTAATGTTGCGTTCATTTGTATACTCACCTCTGCAGTCCAATGAATTCTGCCATAGTGCACCCCGTAGTACAGTCACTTCTCAAACAAACAGACTTTTGTAAAAACTTTCAAGGAATTAGACTACAGAGTTCTATTATGCTAGTGCAACTTACCGATGTTTAAATGATTTCCTCTAGTACATGATTTAATTGTATGTATTGCTGTGGTCTTAAGTCTCCATGGATTTTTCTTTCTTTCTTTTCAAGCATGCTATCTGATTGGTGGCTTCTATAGGGTCAGCTCATCTGAGTTCATTATACCAATTAAGAAATTCTTGAGGAGCCTTGATTATTCTTATTCAGTTGGAACAAGATTCAGGATGCGTTTTGAAACTGAAGAGGCAGCAGAGCGAAGGTTTGTTCATGCTAATGGGTTTTCCGTTTTGGTGACCTTATTAATAAAGAATCTTACTCAGTTTTATATTGGGCAGATTTACAGGATTGATTGTTGGAATTACTGATGTGGATCCTGTTAGATGGCCTGGATCAAAATGGAGATGCCTAATGGTATAATATAACTATCATGTGTATGCTTGAAGTGTGTCAGTAGATACTTTGCCTTTTTCTGTCTTGGCCGTTTTAGTAATATTGTGGCTACACTTTGTTACACTTACCTGCCAGATGGTTATTTGGTGAAATCAGGCATGTGATATGCATAAATCTTTGTGCCTAACATCTAATGTTACATTAAAGGGGAATACTCTCAAAATTACAAGCTTCTTTATTCAATTTTACAGTCTAATAATTCAGTGATTGAATTGAATTCACTTAATCTGGTAGTTGTAAAAAAACTACATGGGTTGTTGGCTGTTTTGTGCACTAAATATTATATTTATGTACTCAGAATAGTTGGATTTTGAACTAAACATATCACATGATAGGTTCTTTTAATCAAGAACCTAAGAATAACACTAGAAACACCACACAGGACAAGTTATCTGAATTATACAGCCTCCTTTTATTGCCAAAGAATCAAGAAGAATGGTGAATACAAGATACTCAGAGAGCTTAACCTCTCCCAAAGAACTACACGAGTTCTTGCACAATCAATAAGACTCCAAAACTACTCACATACAGTCGTTTCCCCCCTTTTATACCAACTACTAACAGAATTAACAGAAACCCATTTCCCCATTTCATAACTGCCTTGGCAGTTAGGCTCATTGCCTTTACCTCTTCTCCTATATACAATTAACTCCCTAACATTACTCCCCTCTCCTCCAACAACCTTGTCCCCAAGGTTGAACTCTGGATATTGCTCTTGTATAGTCGCCTGATCTTCCCATGTTGCACTCTCTTGTCCCCCTTCTTGCCATTCTATCAATACCTCAGGTATTTCCTCTGTCCCCAGCCTTCGAATCCTTTTGTCCAATACCTTCACTGGCCAAAACATGGGCCCATCTGCTTGTAGCTCCGCTGGAAGTTCCTTTTCAACTCGCTTCTCCCCCACCGCTTTCTTCAGTTGGGAAACGTGGAATACGGAGTGTATTCTGGCTGCCTCTGGTAATTGTAAACGAAAAGCTACCTTCCCCACTTGCTGTAACACCTCAAAAGGACCATAATACCGTGCCGATAGCTTCGGATGCAACAGAGTTGGCATGGAAGACTGTCTATGGGGTCTAATCTTCAAGTAGACCCAATCTCCAATATGAATGTCTGCTTCTTTCCTTTTATTATTCGCCTGATTAATCATCGCTTCCTGCGCTTGCCTTAAATGCACCTTGAGCTGTTTCAAAGCCTCATCCCTTGTCATCAAATCCTGAACCACCGACTCCACCGCTGTCTCACCTGGGATAAATCGGCTCAAAGCTGGTGGAGCTCTTCCATAAACGATTTCAAAAGGGGAGCATCTTGCGGCACTTTG